AAACACAGAGAATCAGAAAGACCAAAGTGGTTGGAGGGTGGTGAACCACAGGGAAAAGGGTCCAAGATGGGTGGGAAAGGCATGTAGGGCCACACCACATGGGGTTTGGTGGGATTTTATTCCAAATGCTTTGATGTATTAGTGAGCTACTGCTGTGTAACAAATCACCACATCCCTAATTTAGCAATTTAAAACAAAACACTTTTTTTTTTTTAGTCTAATAGTCTCTGTGGTCAGGAATGTGGGCAGTCCTTCTCTGGGTCATTTACTTAAGGGTGTTTCACAGGGTGCAGTCCCAGCATTGGCTGGCCTGCAGACATCCCAAGTTCAGCCAGGGAAGACTCCACTTCAAGCTCCCGTGGTTATTGGTAGGATTCAGTTACTTGCAGGCCATTGATCAGACACTACCCTTACTTCTTGCCATGTCAGCCACTCCAACGTGACAGCGTGCTTCATGAACTGTGCAAGCCGAGGAGGTGACGGAACCTGCTAGCAGGGTTGAAGTCCCCATCTTTTGTAACCTTATCACAAAAATGACATCCATCACCTTTGACATAATCTATTGGTTAAAAGCAAGTCACAGGTCCCACCCCCACTCAAGGAACCCCTGGCGGTCGGATCACCAGGAGCATTTTAAAAGTCTGTGTGACACAGGCCATTGGAGGTGTCTGAGAAGGGAGGTGACATGATCTGTCCTATATTTTCAATGGGTCACCTCAGCCTCCTTGGGCACTTGGTGTGTGAGGGGGGCTGGGCAAGAGTGGAAGGCAGATGGCCAGTTAGGGGTTCCTAGGAGAGATGACACTGGATTGAAGGGAGGAGGTGACAGTGGAGAGGCAGAGAAGTCAGAAGAAAGAGCTGGGGATGACACCAGGGCCTGCTGAGACGTGCCTCCTGCCTGGGGGACGATGGTGCCTTGGACTCTTGTGTTTCTCCTCGACAGAGAGGGTGGCAGTATCCTCATTCTCCTCCAGCCCTCCTGAGGCCATACATTTGTTGGATGGCTGGCCAGCTCCGGAGGACCAGCCCATAAGCAGAGAACAGATGTCTCCTTGTGCCAGGTCAAGTGACTGACCCCAAATCCTCATTCTCATTAACCTGCACATGCTCGGACCAAAGCCAGTGGGCAAGGGGGAGGGAGGCCACTCACCTGCACCTGTGCTCACAAAGTCCAAGGAACTGGACAGGCTCAAGGGGGTGGGGTATGTATGTACCAGCTCCCATGCACGCAGGTGTATGTGTGTGTCTGTCTCAGGTGGGCTGCAGTTGGAGTGGGGAATCGTGCAGTGCAGAGAGTCATCAAAACTGACCTGAGAATCTTAGGGCATCACTAACAAGTTCCAGAGTCAAGACTTTTCAATTGACATAAAGTCTTTATCTACTATACCTATCAAGATGAACCATTACTTGTTCACCATTTGTAATATGACTACATGGGACAACCTTACTGCTAAACATCTGATTGACATCTCATTTTATTCTCATAAGAGCCCCGTGAAGTTGACACTCAATTTGTTCCATTTCCTACTTAAGAAAACTGAGGCTTAGAAAGTTAAGTAACTTGCTCAAGGTGATGTATCACAGATTTGACCCTGGACTGTCTGACTCCATTGAAATCCATGTTCTCAATGGCTGCTATTGTCTCCCTGCCTCTGGTTTAGGTTGGTGGAAGATTAATTTCCTGGTTGCATAGAGGAAATCAGGTGGGTGCCACTTGCTACAGGGACTGGATTAGCTCTGACCAGAGCAAGGGGCAGGTGGTGCCCCCTGGTGGTAGTGGTAAGGAAGGACCAGTGGGTGGTAGCTTCAGTTTGCCCTTTTAGTGAGACACAGCTGTGTCCCAGGGAGCACAGAGCGGGTTCCATAGAGTCCAGCTGCCCCAGGCAAAGGGCTAGAGTGTGTCTCCTTTCCCAGGGCCCTGGGGATGTCCTCGTGCCTCCTGCCCAGGCAGCCAGGCACTGATCAGAAGTGATTCACACCAGTAACCCAAATGACATCACCAAACGCCACATTCTTATTCAAACCCAGGCTTTGCACCTCAATTCTGACTCCTGCACATAGCACACTGGCATCACCTCAGTTACAACTCAGGGCCTCTGACTTTGGCTAATTTAGAAGTCATTGCTGGACTGTGTTTGCTACCAGGGTCCAGGTTTGTGGGGAAGGGGTATGTGCAGTGGCTGGAATTTCCTGGGGACCACCATGCCAAGGTGCCACCCCATGGGGAATCAGATAGGGTGGGGAGTAAGGCAAGATAGGAGGTGCCCTGAAGCTCAAGGAGCATGGCAGGGCCACAAGGGTTCTGGGGAGGGGCTTGGGAAGGTATGAAACCAGATTTTTAAAACATTAGGACAGCTAGGTGTCAGAGCCTGGGTTAGAACAAACTCTGGTTTGTTGCCTCTGAGCACAAAACAGAAGCAGGGCTAGCAAGGGGAGTCTCTGAGAGGTTCCAGTGGCTTCTCCTGCAGTGTCTGTCCTCCAGTCCTAAGAGCCCCCCACCCCCACCTGGGGAGGGTGCAGGGTGAGTGGGTGCGTGGCGCAGGTGGGGACTCTCAGTGCCTGTGTTCTATTTCAAGCTCCTAACACTGACTCATAGTGTGACCTTGCTGAGGTCATGGCTCTGTGTTTCTTGGGAGGGGGGCCGCAGGGGGATCAGAGGTGACAAAGTTTGCCTTTTCCCCAGGGATGGGAGTCCTAGACTATGGGGGACCTCCTGCTTCCCATGAGCCCCAGCTATGTCTGGTCCTACTGATAAAATTTAAAAAAATGTAGATTTGGATCCAAGGGATGGGGGGGGCACTCAAAGCCAAAAGCAAGTCGTCCCTGCCATTGTAAGAGGCGTGGCCACTCTTAGATGATGTTTCTCCCATGTTATATGAAGCACAGTCCCATACAAATAATTCCCCGCATGGGGAATTAACATCACTGCAAGGGGAGAAGGGAAGCCTTTTCTCCCTCACTTCAAGAGGAGGGACTTAAAGCAGTGGGTGGAATTGCAGAATCCTTTCATTACCAGGAGCCCCCTTTTACTATTTTGCTACCCTCGACACCCCCCACCACCACCTGCTAGGCCCTCATTGACAAAATGCTCTGCATTTATTAGGTAGAAATTCGTGGTTTTCATTCATCAAACTCACTCATGAGTGACAGTTAAAGTTTCTGCCCAGCACAGAAGAACTAGTGCTATCTCGGAACTCTCTGCCAAGAATGACAGTGTCAACGCTGAATGACCTCTTCCTAGGTAAAAGACCAATGTTTCACCAGACTTCCTGAAATTTCGAAGAGGTCATCTCCAACAGACCCAGGCTAGGAAGCCCCCAGAAAGACTCTGGCTTGTGGTGGGGTCAGGATCAGACATGAAGCTCAAGGAGCATGGCGGGGCTCATAGGCTAGTCCTTCAGCCAAGCAGCCCACTTGGCAGGGAGGCCTGTGTGCACCCTGAGACCCAGGTGCATAGGAGCATCAGTGCAAGATGGCAGCACAACCAAATGCAGGCATCATGAAGCAATGGTGCTCAGGGCTCAGACCAGGAATGGGGCCCCTCAGTACTGGGCAGAGCATTCTGAACCAAGCCTGAGGTTGGAAAAGTACAATAGATCATTTGAAGGTGCTTCTGCAAGAAGAGTGGGGGTGAGGAGGGGCTCTTCTGCTACCCATTTGCACTATGTGTGACTCTTGAAAACGGAATCACTGAATCTCACACCTGCTCAGGAGCATTCAGACCAGTCTTTCCAACGCTCCTTTTCAAGAGAGTGAGACCAGAGATGGAAGCCGAACCCTCCCAGCTGGGGTCCATAAAGGCATGCTGGGACCCTGGAAGAGTGGGAACATAGGGGACACCGGAGGTCCAGCTTGATAGCCTGGGTATAAGCAGGGGAAGAGCTTATGGACTCTGAGCACGTCAAAGCTCCCAGGGTGCCTCCTCCTCCTCTGGACTCCTGCAAACATTCTTCTCTTGGAGCCCTTGGCTCCATCCCAGAGGCTCAATTGTTTGATCCCAGGGCTCAGAGGCGTCAACAGCCTGTACCTTTGGAAAAAGACTGGGGGCTTAGCTCTGTGGTTTCAGAATCTCAGGCTCCACCAATCCCTAGCAGGGCCAGGGGCCTGGGCAGGGGCTCTGGGAGCCTGTTGCCCCCACAGCTGTTCCCTGCGCTATTTTGGTCCCAGGGGAGCTTGTCAATTCCAGGGTATTTGGACCAAAATAGCTGATAGCAGGACCATCCCCTGATGGCTCTGTGTGGACCTCCCCACGGGAAAGTTTGTAAAGTGGGTGTCGGGTAGCCAAGAGGGAACTCTCTGACAATGTCTGAGGTCCTCTCAGCCTTTGGACAGCCCTGGTCACCCACCTACCCGTCAAAGCTTGGGGTTGGTGGCAGAGGGAGGGAATAAAAATTTCTGAACATGGTTTCTTGGCTCCCTAGTCCTCCCACAGCCAGCTAGATACATAGCATCCTTTCCCATTTCACAGAAGGGGCTAACCGGGTTCAAAGAGGTGGGTTCACTGGTCCCACGCCACACAGTCTTGGACCTTGGGCCACCATGCCTCTTGTTAGACCCTCAGCGGATCCGTGCCGGCTGGATGCCAGTTCTATCACGAAGCTCAGGCCAGTATGGAAAGTGCTGACTGGTCCTGGCTGCCCTTGGGGCCACCGCGGGGGCCCTGGCAACCCAGGCTTCGCTCACTTCGCCTCACCGAGATGGGTCAACTGGCGGTGGGAGGAGGGAAGCCCTGTCACCCGGCAGCCCCTGGCGCGGCCCAGATAGCCTGTGGGGATTGTCCCGGGCGCAAAGCGAGAGTGTACCAGGTCACGCTCCCTTTGGCGAGCGGGCTGGCGAGCAGAGACCGCGCTTTGGCACCAGGCGGGCACTGGGGTGCGGGGCGCATGCCCCAGACACGCCCTATGGAAGCCGCTCTCGGGCTCAGGAACTGAACTTAGGCGTCGAGTGCCGCTGGCCAAGTCTTACTTCCCGGCCCGAGTTGGGGCCCGCGCTAGCGACAGCCACGAGGCTACCCCGCAGCTCCCACCTCCCCCGGGATTTTCCAGCGGGTTAATTTCCTGTGCCGGTAAATCCTTTTGCGAGCGCCTGGCTGCTCCCTCCCCGCCGCTCCCTCCCGCATCCTGCCGCCGTGACTCCCCCAGCCGGTCAGCGCCGCCGCGCTCCGTCGCCCCCGCGCGCCCGGGCGCACGCCCTCCCCGCCCGCCGCCCTCCGGCTCCCGGCGCCCTGCAGCCGGGGCCCTGCTGCGCGGCCACGCGCCAGGGCTCCCCAGAGAGTCGCGTCCGTGTCGCCGCGGCCGGCCCCGTCCCTGGGCCATGCGCCCCCCCGCCGCCCCCCGCCGCCCCGCCGCGGCGCTCGGACTCTGCAGCCTCCTGCTGCTGCTCGGGCCCGGGCACGCGTGCCCCGCGGGCTGCGCCTGCACCGACCCGCACACGGTGGACTGCCGCGATCGCGGGCTGCCCAGCGTGCCCGACCCCTTTCCCCTGGACGTGCGCAAGCTGCTGGTGGCCGGCAACCGCATCCAGCAGATCCCCGAGGACTTCTTCATCTTCTACGGCGACCTGGTCTACCTGGACTTCAGGAACAACTCGCTGCGCTCGCTGGAGGAGGGCACGTTCAGCGGCTCCGCCAAGCTCGCGTTCCTGGACCTCAGCTACAACAACCTGACCCAGCTGGGCGCCGGCGCCTTCCGCTCGGCCGGGAGGCTGGTCAAGCTGAGCCTGGCCAACAACAACCTGGCCGGCGTGCACGAGGCCGCCTTCGAGACCCTGGAGTCGCTGCAGGTGCTGGAGCTCAACGACAACAACCTTCGCCGCCTCAACGTGGCGGTTCTGGACGCGCTGCCGGCGCTGCGCACCCTGCGCCTGGACGGGAACCCCTGGCTCTGCGACTGTGACTTTGCCCATCTCTTTTCCTGGATCCAGGAGAACGCGTCCAAGTTGCCCAAAGGTGAGCTGGGCAGGCTGGGCGGGCGGGAGCGGGAGCAGGAGGAGGCCACCGCAGCCGGGATTCCTGCCCGCGGGGGGCTGAACCCGGAAGAGGAGTCTGGGGGCTCATCAGCAAGGGGCGAGGGCGAGTGGGTCTGGAGAGAGGAACTTTCCCTGATCTCTGCTGGGAAAGGGGAGAGGCACACACAGGAGGGGGCTGGAGCTTCTTGACCCAGGTGCTTGTTTTTCTTTTCTTCATCAACTCACTTTCCCAAGTTTGGGACCCGCCAATTCTCCTGCCAGGTCTGTGCCCCTCTTGGTCAGATCAACTCACCAGGCCCAGGACAGCTGGGTTCCAGTTGTTTGTGGGTCCTTCCTAAGTGGAAAGCTCTCCCTCTGTGGGAAACAGCACATTCCCAGCACCTTGGAGAAGAGCCACCAGTTCTAAAGGCTGCTCAGCCTCCTTGGAGCCTAAGCGGGTGGGGTGTCTCTGCTTCCCAGCTCCAATTTGCTGCTCTGTCTAAAAGGGGAGCGGAGTATTCCTGGGGAGGAATACAGGCAGCGTCAGCCAGTCATGCAGTAATGATTTATGGGTTTGTGGTTTTTTCAGCCCAGATGTGAAAAAGCCGAACAAAAATGTCACAGCTTGTTGGATCCCCTGCTCTCCTGGTGACCCTTCCAGGGCTGACCTGTATGTACCTACCCACTTGGATGTACATACCAGGAATACAGGGTGCCCAGAGTTTAGGGGGTTTGGGAAGGTCGGGGGAGGGACACTAGGGCAGCGCTGAGGAGGGACGCCAGCATCCACGGGGGCAGACGTCCTCCCGCTGGATGGATTCCAGCTTGTGAGCATCGTGCCCACAGTGACCTCTGAGCCAGATCTCACCTCTCACCTTGACTCCAAGGCTTTAGAGGACTGGGGACCAGCACCGTAAGGCACATGTTTTAAAAGGCGATATAGGTGCAGACTTGGCTGCAGTATACCTTTTATTCCATTAACTGAGAACTCAGAGATGCTGCTCACCTGGATGCAAAGTTCCTGGGTTCACCTGTTCGTTCTGCACTGCCTTTGGCATACCTGGGTATTGGGGTGGCCATTCCCCAGTAGGCCCCCCAGCTGACATTTCACTCTGGGCTGGCTCTACCACGTACACAGATCCTGAAAAGATCTGCTCTGTGAGGTACAGAGTCCCCAGCTTTAAACTTGTCCTGTGCTCCTGCCTCGCTCCCCTGATCCACCAGAAGGCTGTGCTGGTGACAGGAGTGGGCTGTGGGGCTCGCTGGGATGGGGGCACACCGTGGTGCTGGTTGCCCTGGCCCTTCCGTTTGGTGGGCTGGCCTCATCTGCCCCATTGCTGCTCTGCTTGGTAGAACAGGCTCCCACTCTTCCAGAGCAGGGCGAGTGCTGGGGCAGAGGTGTCAGGGTCAGTTCTGCTGAGGGCGGCCGGGTCCTTGAACAGTCCACTTACTCTTTCTGTGCATCAATCTCCTCATCTCTAGAGCCTCCTCATCTCTAGAGATCTCCACAGAGCCTTGGATTTGAGTCTGAAGTCATGGGTTCGAGTCCTGGCTTAAAACCTGGGCTAGTCGTGGTAGTCCCTAGCTTGTTTGGGTCTCACCTTGCTTATGGGTGATGCTGTGTGGTCCATCTGGCCGAGTGGCTGGCAGCATCCAAACCAGGTAGTGTGGGAGAAGGTGGAGTGATGGGAATGGGAACAGGCCCTCCCCCAGTGTCTGTCATTCAGGGCATAAAACAGACACCAGGGGCTACATGGGCTGGGGAGAAGGAAGGAGAGGCTCTGGACAGGGCAGGCTGGGGGAGGACTGGTCTCATTCAATCAGGACGGATAGAGGCCGTGTGAGGGCACCTCCAGGACACAGCGGCAAGAGTGGCTGTGGGTCCTCCTGCCCTCATCGTGTAGCCAGAGCAGTGTCCTGACCCTGAAAACCAGAGGCCGGGTGGGTGGTGGAGGAACTGGCACAGGCCTTAAAGGGAGAGACCCGAGTTCAGGTCTGGACTCAGAGGTATAATCCTGGGTGAGGATATAATCCCCGACCTCTCTCAGCCTCAGTTTTCCTCCCTCTTAATTCAGAATGTAGTGACGACATTCTCCTCCTGCCTGCTGTGAGGTCTGAACAGACCAGCTGGGCAAGGGCTCAGCAGTGCCCAGCACCCAGTGGTGGCCCCGGGGGGGCCCCCATCACCCCTTCCTTCCTGCAGGTACACTGCTTCTTAAACACTTTAAAAACATTTGTATCAACTCATGATAGTTGTGTGTATCTGTGGGTACCCCGTGATAACGTAACACACAAGGCATAGTGGTCCTATCAGGATGATTAGCCTTTCCATCTTGAGCACTTATCATTTCTTTGTTCCGGGAAACTTCGAATTCCTCTCTGCTAGTTCTTTATGAAATATTTAGTAGGAGCTGGGGAGGTAGCTCAGTGGTAGAGTGCTCCCCTAGCATGTGTAAGGCCCTGGGTTCGATCCTCAGCACCACATAAACATAAATAAACAAAATAAAGGTATTAAAAAAAGTGAATTACTTAATAAAATATACAGTAGGTGGTTGCATACTCTGGCCACCCCCTGTGCTGTGGAACGCTAGAACTTACCTTTGGACAACTGCATGATGGTGCCCCCTATCCCCGCAGCCCCTGCCCAGCCTGCACTTTTCCCAGAGGCCAAGGTCGAGGGTGGGATCCCTGCCTCTGGCACTGATCTGTACACCATTCTTCTTACTAGACGCATGGCCTTTTTGTGCTCTCAGGCCACAAAAAAATTCTCATCTGTGAAATGGGGATGATAGGGTCGCTCTTCCCGGGGCTATTGGGAAGGTTGGGAGGATGTTATTTACCTATGAAGTGCTTGCAACAGCAGCTGGTGCCGCCCGTGCTGTCTGCTGTAACTGCGAGGCCCAGAAAAGTGGTGTGTGTGACTTACCCAAGATCTCACAGAGCCGGGGGGATGCACAGATTCTCCCCCCCCATGTCCTCCTGGCTCCCAGCCCTGCCATGCTGACCGCCCACTTTCAGCCAAAGAAAATCAGCCTTCACAGGGGACAAGCTCCACTTTCTATGCTCTGCATCTTCCAGGGGAGGGATTTCAAAGAAAGAGCAAAGAGGATCCTGTCCTCTCGCCTCCCCTGCACCCTCCTCCCCCAGAGAAGCAGGAGGGAGCCGGCGCTTTCTCCCTGTGACCTTGACTAGCTCTGACAGTTGCAAAAATGTGTTCTTCTGCCAGGTAAGCCTCCCCTTGTGGCCACAGCACCGAGGGGGAGCATTTGGCCACAGAGCAAACCGGGGAGGAAGGGAAGGGCTTGGCAAGACCCTCTGGTCCCCTCTGCCCAGGCTGCGGGCAGGGCAGAGTCAGAGTCCGAGGTGTGGGAAGGAACTGCCCTCCTGGAGGGAAGAGGCTCAGCGAGGCCGGTGTGCCCAAGTGCCAGTTAGCAAACCCCAACACAGCCTCGAAACAAAAACCCAGGACGCCCGATGGATGTTGAATTCCAGATAAACAACAAGCGATATTTTAATATAAACGTATCCCGTGCAAAATTTGGGGCAGACGGATACAAAAAAATTATCTGTTGTTTTTCTGGAACTCGACATTAAAGGGAGCGTCCTTCACTTTACCGAGCAGCTCTGCCACCCGGCCCTCTGGGTGTCCGTCACGTGGCAGGGTACAAATGCTGCCTCTGTGACCACAGCAGCCCTCCCTGGCAGGTTCCTTCGTCCACAGTTCACCCAATAAGGGGAAGTGGCCTCACAAGGCCCCGTGGTCAGGGGCTGAGATGGGCTTGGACTCCAGGGTGTCCAGCCCCGGGCCTGGCCTTTCTCATAGATGTGGGAAGGGAGAGCGCGACCATCCCCAGCGCGTTTGCTCCCCTGTCCTCAGCTCCCCAGAGTGACAGTGGGCTGCCTCCTCTTTCCAGCCCCAGCTCTATGCCTGGTCTGATGGTTCTCCCGTGAGGTAGCGGGGTCCCAAGCCGTTCGGGGGCACTGGTCCCCAAGGGGACAGTGATGATCTCTCTTTAAGCAGAAAGGGCTCTAGACCTGGAGGCAGGAGTCCTTGGAAATCACTCGGGTGACCTGCCAGGGGACAGAGGGAAGGGTGGGGAGTTCTGGAGGAGACCAGGAGGCAGCAGGGATGACACTCACCGGTATGGTGCTCTTTGAGGCTGTCCCTTTACGGCAGCCCAGCAAGTGGGAAGGCGGCAAAGACACAAAGAACTGGTGCTCCAGGGTGGTTCTCAGAGCATCCACCTGGGTGAGAACCCCCTGAGCGCTTGGTTAAAATGCAGATTCCCGGGCTGAGGCTGGAGACCTGCAGGTGAACATGCCCCCACCGCCCGCGTTTCCTACGCACACACAAGCCTGAGACCTGCTCTCGCAGTGGGAAGGGCTAGTTGCTGGGTCTCTGGCTCTGCACTTCACTAGCTGTGTGACTTTGTGTAAGTTGCCAGCTGTCTCTGAGCCTCAGATTTTTCTTTTGCATTCAAATGAGTAATAGGAGGATTGGGAGGTGCCTTCCAAATCGAACACTATGTGGTTTGAAAGGGATATTATCCTGGTCCACTGGGGAGTTGGGGCCTGGGAAGGCCAGGGACCCTCTGAAGACCCCTCTGCTGGAATTCGGAAGGCTGTGGTCTCTTGTTGTGGGGAAGCAGGCGTAGCTTCTAGACCAGCTGGGACTCAGAGCTGACTGTCCAGACATGGAGGGACTTTCCCTACGCTGTCCCCAGCCTTGGTCCTGGAGCCACAGGGGGAAAAGGCCCCTAGGCTTGAGAAGTGGTAGCTGGTGGGCGTGGGGCTCCATGTGCTTTGGCTTTGAAAGTGGGTGAAGTAGGGGACATGCCCACTCCAGGCCTGAGAGAGGGGGACTGGATTCAACCAGGTGCCCTTCCCAGCCCTTGGTGGCTGGTGGGTCACAGCCTACAGCACCAGGGAAGAGATGTGAAGGGTCTTTCACCCTGTGACCTTGACACATGGAGGTGCAGTGCAGGCTTGGGAGGGGGACCTGGGCAGAACTAACAGGGCCACACGTCATGCTCTGTCTCTGCTGGCCCTGACCAGTGGGACAGCCTCCCCACAAAGATCCGCCCTCAGCATCAGGTCATTCAGGGGCTGGGGCCACACTAGACACTCCCTCTGGGCAGTCATTTCAGGCAGGACACACCTAGAGTCACAAAGTCACTAGCCCCACCTGTTTACCTGGCTTGACTTGCGGC